CAAGAGGACAACACAGCTTTCGGGCCCCTCTCGGAATCCCAGAGAGACGGCTTTACTGTAATAGCGTGTCCAAGTGTATGGGTTCACGCAGGCGTACCAGACATTGACCCGCTCGAAAAAAGACTGTACATATGTTGTTGTATTCGACAAGTCGAACCCTGCAGCAGCAGGAAACCTAAGCGGCTCGCGAGCCATTTCAAGCTGCAGTAAAGTTTGTGGATCGTAGGGACCGGCGACCAGGTCCCGAATAAGGGGCCATTGTAGAAGGTGTAGCGCGGGAGTGGTGTGCACCTTGGGCATCGTTGAGATGCTCGTCGGTGGGTTCACCCAGGACCCAAGTCCCGCAACGGAAGTTTTCCCAGACATGGCGGCGATAGTGGATGCCTTGGCGACTGCATCATCGCTGCCCACGTTCGTATCATTGCTGGTGGTAGGGGACGTTGAAGACAACGGGAAATGGGTCGCTTGTCCTACCAGGGTAGATTGCAGTAGACCCTCGATTCTATTCAACCTCTCGATGATCAGTTTGTCGCCAGCATCGAGTTTGATGCCTGGTTCCCTGTAAACACAGTCTGCGTCTAAGTCTGTACAGAGTTGACACCTCGGGCGCGCGCCATTACATCGAGTCTTTCGTAAGCGACATATCTGGCACTGCGGTGCTCCTCATGGGTCAATCAACACCCGGGTGAAGAACGGGAAAGGGGAAAGCACAGGTGAAAAGAAGAAGCCGAAGATACATACTGCGATCGTCGCACGCCTCCGAGGATATTCTGTTAACTCCGAGTTGGATCGCTTTTTCTTGCTGACTTGAAATTCCGTAGTGCCAGCCGCTGTGGCCGAGTCGAGGACCAAGTCTCTCTCTGGAGAGGGCGTCATGATGTGGATGGCCAAGGTTCTTTCATATCACAAGGAGAGAAAGTCGTGTGCTCAGGCTTTGAAAATTTGGAAGATAGCGAAAGTGTCATGAACCTGTACTCTCTGTATGGGCTGAGTAGGCTTTTCATAGTGGCACTGCCTGTCATCTAAGACCAAACTCGCAGTCCTGTCGCTTGGAACATCCTCGAAACGGGCCAGGAGAACGGAGAACTGAGAACAAGAGTCTAAGACAGAGGAAGACAAGTCGAGGTAAATGATGCGATGGTTAGAAGCCCATGATGAAGCAAGCGTTAAGCAGCCCTTTTGTAGCTTTCGCGATACACGTCGAAGGGCTTCTCAGACCAAGTGCTGAAATGCCATGATCAGTCAAATGTCGCAGCAAGAGCCCCGAGAAGTAAGCAAAGAGGAGGGGAAAGGCCAAAATACCTGGTTGAGCAGACGACTCGAGACCCAGAGAAGCGAGATTTGAACATTTCCCTGAGTGAGTCTAAGGCAGGCCATAGTGTGGATTTAATTATATTGGATTCCCCAGGTAGTCTTTAGTATCCGGGGGAGCGGGGGAAAGACAATAATAATGACTTGGGACTTGGGATTTTGAAGGAGCCATGATTCACTGGGCCCAATAATAATACAGTAGTAGATTAATACCTATCATAATATCATTAGGTAGTACAAAAGAAGCGTAGAAACAACCGAATCAGAAGGCAAGGTCATCTTAGTGCAATGCGGAGAAAGTCATGTCAGAAACCTCTATGGGCAATAGTCGAAGACTCGACTAAGTACGTACCTGGGTATCATTGAATTATTATTTATACTTCAGGTACGGCACAAGGTCGCCCTCGACTAGGTCTTGAGCTGTATACGATATGCATTCGTGATGAAGATGCGCGCCAATTTGCTGGATTGAATGGAATATTAGGGCAGCGCAACCTAGGGCCACCGCTGGTAGATATCCACAAAATCGACTGTATGAACAGTAAAATAATCCTAACCTTTCAGGACTTACTACTTAGTAGTAGAAATGGCCTGTTCAAAACCTTTGGATTTCGAATAGAATGATCCTGCCTCAAATAGTTACTCTGTGGTCAATCGACAAATGGTGATTGGAATACACGATTAGGACCTGTCTAGGGTACAGGTGAGACTATAACGCATTGATCTTTAGCACCGGCAACGAATTCTGGAGACGGCCATTGATCCGTGCTGGATCATGGATGGTTAACAGACTTGAACGGAGAATATTGGAGCAGAATTTAGAAGGGATTTTAAAAAATATGTCGGTCAGGTAAGGTACCTCTATCCAACCTTGAAGTATCCATGGGGGATATGAGCCTGTATTGCCTAAGTAAAACTGGTATTACGAATATGATCAACCATCATCTATGGATGTTCCAAGCATTATTGTTATTGAGGTTGCAAAGGATGAGAGCTCAGAACTTAACCCATTTACCCTATCTATAGGAGAACTGCTCAGGTACCATGCGGTATGTATGGAGTATGGAGTTCTGTATAGGTACGGAGTAGATAATCATTCAAGTAAGGTAAGATACTACAAAATTACCTAAATAAATTGATGCGACTACCTAGGATGTACTCTGCCCTCAATCTGTATGAGTTACTCCTTAGTGAAGTTGGTTGCTTGCCCCGGATACTTATACATCTTTACGACGGCTTTATCCTCGCAGATGGTTATCAGTGTCACTGTGGTAAGTATGGTACCAGTCCCCACAGCTTCATGCCGACGGAAACCATGGAATAATATTCTAAAAGAGTAAAGTAGCTGTCTCCGGTCCGATCAACTGGAAGTGTTCCAGACACGTGCCACGCCCCCAGACGCGTCGAAATCACCAAAACAATCCCTAAATCAGTGACGCGAGCCGGTTGGGGAGAAGTACTAATTGACCAGAGAAGATTCTATGTGTCCTATCTAACAACTCTCGTCACCAGTCAAGATTCAGATTCTGTGAATCATTGCGCCTTTCGTCTCTCCGTACCTCATCCCTGAAGACGCGTTCTTCTTGTCATCTACTCAAACAGACCTCGCTAACGGCGCGTACGAGAGACTTCGATGATTATTGATTACAACAGTAATCCCACCTTATTAACAAGTACTTCCCTGCACTCTTTGTGCAAGGGGAAAAAGCCTTGCCCTTCCTTTCTCTCTTTCTTCGTCTCGCCGCATCAAAAGTTTCTGGATCCGATATAACACAACAATGCCACGACCACCTACGAAACGCGATCGTCTCACATCGCGAAATGTCCAAACTTCGTCTAAGGTATCTCCGAAAACCAAAGACCCTGAAACCAAGAGTTCTGCCACCAATTCAGGATCCCTACACGGAACCGAGAATGATACGAGGGTGGAGGCACAGCCGGCACCTAGTGTCGAGGATATCAAATTTGCACGACAATTGAGGGGTCAGACACCCATGACCAAGAAGCAAGAACAGGCAATTGATTCCTCGCCTATGGGGGAACGCGGAGCTACGGGCAGCCGACCACCCACGAGAGCTCGAGGCTATTCATCTACGCTATCTGTTGGCAGACGAGGGGCTGATATGAGCTCCAAGATACCTGGCACTCCAGGGTTCGAGAGTTCGATATTGAGCAATTTTAGGAGACGACCTCGGCAAGCAAGCATTCTCCAGATGATGCAGGCAGATGACGGATCTTCCGATTTTGGAGACCTTGACGATGATGACTTTCTTGGTGGACTGAGCCCAGAGGATGAGTCGACTCCCCTCAATTTTTCTAGAGGAAAATCCCTCGTTATTAGACATGCCTCTTCCTCGCCTCTTTCGGACCGTTCGCACCCGTCCAGCGGCGGATCGCGCAAGCGCAAGCGTGCCGGGGAGGAGCTTCAAGTTCCCCAGTCACCTTTGAACTTTGTGGAAAACTCACCTGCTAGCTCAATAAGCCGGGAGGTTGGTGGCGAAGAGCGCGGCACCTCTCGTGAGGTTTCACAACACTTGGCAGGCTCGGAAGTAGTCAATCGGACAATGGCACCACCCATGAGCAGCAGCCCACTGTCAAGTCCCCAGAGTAGCCACTCAACGCTGATGGGTGCTAAATCACCCGAACACTCGCTGGAGCATACGAAGGACCGTGACACAAGAGAATTCAGTGAAAAGCTCCCTGTGTCCACAGCAAGACTTCAAGACAGATTGCTTCCTCGGCGACGTCACAAACATCGCAGACACCATGGAGTACCCGATCACGTACTTTCAGATGATGAAAGCGAAGACGACTATTCTATTGACCAGGATGAGGATGAGCTGTCATACCTGCCCACTAGGGAGCCGGCTCGAGCACAACGACGGCGAAAGGACAGGCCAAAGCCATTGGACGTTGTTCGAACCAATCACAGGAAGCAAGGCGCAGTCACAGCATTAAATTGTGAAGTCATCAGTCCAACGGAGTCTTCTGCACATCCAAACTCAGCGGGGATGAAGGACGCGAGACAAAAGCGAGCTAATGCTCCACAAAGTAGTCGGACTGCTGATGCCGACAAGGAGAACCAAGCAATCGAGGTGTCCTCGCCTCTGTCCTCACCACTCGACACGGATGCGTTCGATTTAGAATCATCGCCGGTGCCAATACCGGCTACTACTTACCTGAGCGAGGAGCTCAGATTGCAAGCTAAGAAATTTGAGGAGATTGACAGATGGCAGATGGATTTTGAGGATGTGGTAACATCAGGGAGTCAAGCCAGCCCATGCAGATGAATAATAATGGATAGCCTGTAAAGGGACCATTACAGGTTCAGAACGGTGAATAGCTTTGTTACTCTTATGAAAGATATTGCATGAAGATACACAAAAGACCTGATAGTCTTTCTTATGTCTGGTACTTCTCCATGCTGAGTACTCCGTCCTGATTCTCAGATCATCCGGTTTTGTACTCGATAACATGAGTTACTCTGAGCTCCGAAGTCACTGATTTAGTTTCGCACGGAGTACCCATACCGACGTTAACCGGCCTGGGCCCCGCATAGCAAGACCCCGCAACAGCCGATTAGCGAGCAGGTTGAGATTCAATCCATGATATAGGCCGCATCCACGGGAAAGATAAACACAAAAGGTTTGAATTTCTCTCACCTGTTTATCCATTAGCATCAAAGCATAATGGCTACGGTAGATACAATCCTGGCGGGCAAGTATCCGGCGAAAGCGCATGCGCGCCGTGTGGCCGAAAGCCTCCAATCTCACAGAAATGGTGGTCCTGGAATTGTCTACCTGGAAGCTCAGAAAACTCGGTTGATTGAAGACAATGACGAGCCAGTGCCCTTTAGGTACGAAACGGCGTCTTATTCTGATCTCCGCAATTGGAAAGATAGACCTGACAAATCGCATTCAATATTAGACAACGTCGTCCATTCTTATACCTATCTGGATGCCTGTTACCGGACTCTTGTCTGGTTTACGATCTGAGTGAGGACCAACTTACTCTGTTCATTCCTCCGGTCGACCCGGAGGATGTTATCTGGTCCGGTCTTCCCATGTCTACCGAGGAGGCTCAAAACCAGTACGACGTCGATCGCGTGTTGGTGACAACTGAACTCAATAGCACTCTCGCCTCTATTGCGTCCAGCCATGGCGGCAAGGCGATCGCTTTTACCATTGCAGATCAGGTCTCCGAAAGCACAAAATTTCATGGCTTTTCTGAGGTGAACCCGTCCGTGCTGAAGGGAGTCATCGAGCAGTCTCGCGTGGTCAAGGATGAGTACGAAGTCGCGTTGCTGAGAAAAGCGAACGACATTTCTGCCAAGGCGCACATTGCAGCTATTAAGGCGTCTAAAACTGCCGTGAACGAGCGTGAAATCGAGGGTGCTTTCATCGCAACTTGTATTGCTCATGGCGCTCGAGAACAGGCCTATCACCCTATCGTCGCTTGCGGCGAGAATGGTGCCACTCTTCACTACGGGAAGAACGATGATGCACTGATCGACCTCGTGACAAAGCAAAAGAAACGCAATGTACTTATTGATGCCGGTGGAGAGTACCGCGCCTACTGTGCTGACATCACTCGTGTCTTTCCTCTAGGGGGAAAATTCACTGCAGAAACGCGGCAGATCTACGACATTGTCTTGCAGATGCAGACAGAATGTATTGCAATGCTGAAGGAAGGCGTTCAGTGGGAGGATGTGCATGCCCATGCCCACCGTGTTGCAATTCGAGGCCTCCTTAAGTTAGGGATTCTGCAAGGCGCCGAGGACGAGATCTTTGAAAAGAGAGTCAGCGTCGCGTTTTTCCCGCATGGTCTCGGACATTATCTTGGGATGGACACTCATGATACCGGCGGCAATCCGAATTACGCGGATAAGGATACCATGTTCCGGTATCTTCGCGTCAGAGGACGTTTGCCTGCGGGCTCGGTGATCACCGTCGAGCCAGGCGTAAGTTGGGGGTTTTCCATGTTTCCTTGACTGATCCACTGACACTTGCTGCGACTCTAGGTATATTTCTGCCGTTTTATCATTGAACCTTACCTCAGGTCCCCCGAGTCAAACAAATACATCGATTCCAGCGTCCTCGAGCGCTATTGGAGCGTTGGGGGAGTCCGTATTGAAGACAACGTTCTTGTGACCAAAGACGGATACGATAATCTAACCACAGCGCCAAAGGCTGTTGATGAAATAGAGAGACTAGCTGTCTCGTAAGCTTCTTGCCTGCAATGATAGCAGTGCTGTTAGTTGGCACCTGCCACATACTCTTCACGAGAACCAGCTCTTGTCTCAACATTTGTACTGTTACATTGCACTGTGGACAGGTAGCTAGGGCAATGTAAATAAGAAAGAAGAAAAAACCGAAAAGGAAAGTAAATTCAAGTCCTTTTGATACAGATGCAGATATGGTCGCCAAAAAGACAAGACAACCGATATGTTAGAATATTCAATAGGCCACCTCAAGAGGGATGCCATCTAGATGCCGCTCCTGAGACGTTTCCTACCACTGCCTTTGATGCCTGATTCGGTTTCTGCTCGATCCTGGGCACGTTTCTCTTTCTGGTCAAGAACAAGACTGAGTACATCAAAGCAGAACTCAGGCACTTCAAGACACAGCTTCTTGAACTCCTCTTCAGCCTCATGGCGCAGCACATGGCTTCTGGTGGCCCAGAACGAGGCAACGGGCTTTCGAATAGTGGCATCGTCGACGGGTGTGTGCGTGTAGACATAACGAGCGTAGGCGATTTCTCCATGAGAGGTACTGTTGATACGGTGGATCTTCGAGTGTGCCAGAGTCTTTAGCGCAGGCATGCCAAGCTTCTCTGCTAGAATGTAGACACGCGCATGTTTCAACAATAGCTCGCCGCTATCATCCAGTTCTCCTATAGAGTCTTGATATGCGGATGAATCGGCGAGGGATGCGGAGTAGTCATGCGTATATTGGAACTGCAGGAAGCAACCGAATGCTTCGACGTTCTCATCAGGAAGCTCAATGCGCCGCTGCATGCCAGATATTGTATTAGTAAAAGGATCCTGAATACGGCCCAGCATGAAGATAGTAAATACGGGACCTGATTCGCTGAATGAGGCGACAGCCTCCGCAAGGAATGGCGATTCCAACAACAAGCTCTGGTGCGCCGTCAAGGAAGTCTTGTCCTCGCCCTGTCCGACGACCAGTTCCACAATGGGCGACGTCAGGTAACTAAACGACGTGAGCCGCGCATGCACCAATTGGATTTGCATTGTTGAAGCTTCCTGAGAATATGAGCTTACTCGAGAAAATGAAGGCCTGGCTTCTTCTTGGGGGGTTGGGGGGCTTCTGTTGGTGTTGAACTAGCTGGCTGCGCGTCAGGTAGAGAGATATCCTGTTGTGTTGCATCCGCTTGGGTCTCATTGACTGCGCCCTGCTGAGTTCCATTCATTTCCACATCGGGAGTCTCAGTCTTTTGGGTGCTCTCAGGAGCCTGAGCGACCTCCGACGCGCCTACTTGAACTTGGGGTGTATCCATTAGAGCTACTCAATAAAGCGAACGTAGGAATGGGACTTCAAATCAAGAACTGATTATATATTAGGGCGGGACAAAGGGTGTCAAGTTGAAAAGAATGTATAATCACACAGTGAGTGTCAATTGACAAGGAAAGCGTGATGAATGGGAAAAATATTGCCAGCAAGATGTCCTGGGGATTGGATTGCAGTAAATTACTCATGAGCAAGGTAAAGCAGTACGGAGTACCTCCCGTCAGCTTTGAATGGAACCTGTCTATTATTATTACCTAAGCACGCCAGGACCTACGCGATGTATTTGTGTCGATATACTCCGTAATTTCTCTAAATATTAATGAGCGGACTGAAATATAGATAAGGTAGTATGATTGGACTCGGCAGCAATGCATATGAGACTTGAGAACTTCGGTTGACACGCGTTTGAGTGATATTTTTGTTTTACTTCGACCAGCGTGCTGCTACGATGAACGCCTGAGCTACCTTCAGCACAAAGGTAGAGGCAGTATCTACTGTACTGAAGTACGGTCATGTACGGTGTACTGTACTACAAAGTCCTTAACAATGATACGTATAGCCTTAGGTAGTACCTTAGCTTTTAGAATTAATACTGACCATCCATGAATGATAATGTGGTTGATTATACACACTGCATGGATCCATCAGGTACCTGCCAGTGTTACTCTCTAAAGACATTGAGAGGTGAGGAAATCATAGAAGAGACAGATTCAAAGATGAAGTTTGCCATCTACCTTAGTATTTGGACTTCTCAGATACTAAGGTACCTTATCTATTCAGTTCCCACTATCTTCCATGGATATTGCTGTACGTAACGAGAATCATATTTTTTCAACCTTCCGCATGTGGCCGCGTCCGGATATAACCTCCCCTCGAATGTCCACTGTCAGTTGATCAGTTCAGGTAAGGTATCCATAAGAATCCCGCGAGTCCTTTATGATTGGTGTACCTCGCTTTCAGCTTCGGCGCCTCGGATTCCCTCGAAGCTATATCTGCACTGGTTCAAAACCGACATTCATCTCTGACATTCAAATCAGGTGGACTGTACGGTTTTCTCACAGCCAAAGACGCAACATGGCGACCGTTATCAACCCCCCCAGGGATCCAAATACCCTGAGCAATTACAATAATTGGGTGTCCACTCATATCACAGCGAATTTCGACATCCTCTTTGAGCAGAGAAAGCTTGCTGGAAATGTGATCCATCAGTTCCGTTCTACCACCCATGGCGAGTCCAAGGATATCATCCTAGACACCAACCATCTTGATATTGGTGGTGTGAAAGTCAACGGACAGCCGTCCGAGTGGGAGTTTCTTCCTCGATTGGAACCATACGGCACCCCTCTGAAGATCAAGCTCGATCGAGGTGTGAAGCTCAACGAAACTATTGAGGTCGACGTATGTTGCCGCAATCTCCATTTTTAGGCGATGTATGTCCCGATCTAATGAGTTCTAGATATCCGTCACAACCACTGAGAAGTGTACTGCTCTTCAATGGCTGACGCCTGCTCAAACATCGAATAAGAAGCATCCTTATATGTGTAAGTCAAAACGCCCCATGGGCGGCCTTCTCCTGAAAAAAAGACTCGGACGGATTACGCAAGAGTCATGGATGTAGCACATGAGCCTAGCAGCGGAACGAACGGTTGTTGACAGGAGCTCTGTTCAGTCTCTCAATGCCAGGCCATACACGCCCGGTCCATCTTTCCCTGCCAAGATACGCCGGATGTCAAGTGTACGCTGGACTTCAACATCACTTCACCACTTCCGGTGATTGCCAGTGGACTGCCCGTTCGAAGCTCATCTGAGGCTCCGAAGTCCGATGGTAAGACATTGTATAAGTTTCACCAGAAGGTCCCAATTCCAAGTTATCTTTTCGCATTAGCTAGCGGGTGAGTCATTTTTCCCCCATCTTACTCGTTCCATTCTTCCTTTCCGATTTGCCGCTCCGTTGAACCATACGGCGAGTTTCAGCTGACGGAAAGTCTTAAGTGATATCTCTGAAGCCCCAATCGGGCCCCGTAGCGTTGTCGCGACTAGTCCCGACAAGCTCAGCGAATGTCAGTGGGAGCTCGAAGCAGATACGGAGAAATTCATCCATGCAATTGAGGTCTGTCTGAATGACCGAGCGAACATAGATATTTGGCTGACTTGCGTACAGAAAATTGTTTACCCTTACGTTTGGGGAGAATATAATGTATTGATCCTGCCCCCGAGTTTTCCGTACGGGGGAATGGAAAATCCAATCTTTACATTCGCCACCCCCAGTATTATCTCAAAGGTATCGCGTTGACTCTCCATTACGTCAGAAGCCCTTTGCCAGTTCTAATATCAATGCACAGGATCGGGAAAATATCGACGTTATCGCTCACGAGCTTGCGCATAGCTGGAGCGGTAACCTTGTCACCAATGCCTCGTGGGAGCATTTCTGGCTAAATGAAGGCTGGACTACTTACCTCGAGAGGCGGGTAAGTATCCTCTCCTGGCCTTACGAGAGGGTCGACGTATAGATTGTTGCTAACCGCTCGAAGATCGTAGCTGCAGTGTGAGTATTTTTCTCCAGAGCGTTTCTGGCTCCTTGTCACTAACGGCTGTAGCCATGGCGAGCCTTACCGTCATTTCTCGGCCATCATTGGGTGGAAGGCGCTCACAGACTCTGTAGAGCACTTTGGTCATGAACATGACTTCACCAAACTTATCACTAACCTGAAGGGCAAGGACCCGGATGACGCTTTCTCAAGCATTCCGTACGAGAAGGGATTCAACTTTCTGTTCCACCTGGAAAATCTGGTTGGAAAGAGCAAGTTTGATCAATTCATCCCTCACGTATGTTGACAGTCCCGCGTTGATAAGGGTATTATGCTAATCATGCTCAGTACTTCAATAAATATAAGGGGAAATCGCTGGACTCATATGAATTCAAGAGCACAATCTTGGATTTCTTCAAGGATGATTCGGAAGCCTCGACAGCACTCAACGACCTTGACTGGGACAGGTGGTTCTATGCGCCTGGTCTACCTCCGAAGCCACGTTTCGACACGTCGCTCGTTGATGTTGTCTACGATCTAGCTAAAAAGTGGCTTTCTTTGCCTGACTCTTCCTTCAAGCCTCAGCCAGAGGATATCCGAGGCTTGACCGCGAATCAAGTTGTGGTTTTCTTGGAACAGATTCTCGCGTCTGAGCGTCAGCTGACGCCTGAATTGTCAAAGTTGATGGGTGAAATATATGGACTTGCCAGGAGCGAGAATATCGAGGTCGCCAACCTGTTCTTCCAAGTCGGTCTGCAGGCAGGTGATGCAAGTGTGCTTGAACCGACGGCAGACCTACTCGGCAAGATTGGTCGGATGAAATTTGTGCGACCCTTGTAAGCTATTCCTACAGGTGCTACTTTCGAGTAAGTCATCAGGAAGCTAATCTAGGGTGCAGGTATCGGAAATTGGCAAAGTTTGACCGCAAGCGTGCAATTGAGACGTTTGAGAAGCATAGGGATTTCTATCATCCTATTTGTCGTGCCATGGTTGAAAAGGACCTTTTCGGTAAGAAAGACGAATAAAGCGAGGTGTACCGCCGGCCACTTTGCGCATATCCTCCTTCATCCGGAAATTTCAGTCACTTGCCTCAGGAGCGGCACAGAATTTAGCTCAAAACGTCTGGGGAGCGTGGCATTTGCGAAATCAACGTGGCCTTACTCGACTTCTTCTTCGGCCATCAACAACCAAATTGGTGTTGTGGCAGGATAGCTGAGGAGACAGTGGTAGTGAGTACGTCACGATATTTCATAAAATAGATGATGGAGGATAGTGTATGTTCTTGAGTTAGGAAAAGTGGTCAGTTCTAAGACCCAGGATGTGCATAGTCCTGGTTTGCATTCGAACGAATACATGGAGGCTTGGTTTACATGATCATCGCTTCCCATCGACCAACTGCTTATCCAATTCCGAGTAACCAAAGATGCCAGGCTTTCCACCAGGCCTGGCGCCGATATGTAGAATAAGATCGGCCTCGTTGATCTGGGAAAGCTCCGATATAACACGGCGCATATATGCAACAACCCGTGCTACCTTAGTCCAATCCATATCTTCACCATGCGGCCCGGTGTGGCTTGCTTTCCAGAGGTTTCTCCAGACAGCAGCTCCTAGCACAGCGTCACCTTTCACCAGGCCTTCGTCGTATGCAGCAAGGACGCCTCGCCATTGAATAAAAAGATCTTTGAGAAACTTGTTCCGGATGGCGCGACTTGTCAGACCATGTAGAACATCCATGCGATGCTCTGCATTATGTGAGAAGTGGTCTATCAAGTGACGGGAGTATGTTTGCAGACTGTCAAATGAAGGCAAAGCGCGCAACCGGACGGTGAGAAGGTACATGTGCAGAAACGTAACCTGGGACCACGTCGAGAAGGTTGGAACCAATCCCAAATCTGAACGTATTTTAAGTCAGCCCTCCGCGGCTGTGATTGAAAACAAGCACGCTAGACTTTCAAGACCAGTACGTACCTTCGTACCACCACCCCTCTCCTACTCCAAGATCCTCTCCGGCTTCAGTTTTGGGAACTTGAGCCCCTTTCTGGGATAATTGAGGAATGCTGTAGTCGGCTTGACTGGAACAAACCTCAAATAATTTCTGCGTCATGCCGTAGGCGACATATGTTTCCGCAGCCGTTCCAGGGCGAGGCATTATAGCCCTTGACAGTCGTGAAGAGGCCCGCCACTGTGGAACTGAACTCAAAGTCTGCTGGACCCAAAGGGCATTGCGGTTCGGATGGGCCGGAGAGCACAAGGACACAATGCCTGGAGATACAGTTTGCGATGCGATAGGCGCAGGTACGTATAAGGATCGTCGATGGCTTGTGTGCGAAATTACGGACGGGTTGAGCGCATGCGCCTACAGTTCGTTCCATGGTCAGCCAGGCAATTTTTCTGAGTCGACTTAGCATACTTGAGGTTGGGGGCACTTCGATTGGCGTAGCGCTCGCACCCAAGTCAGATTCAAACTTTTGGAAGGCATTTTTGATCGAAACAATCCGGCCTAAATAATTCGCTCAATGGCTGGCATATATGCGTCGAGATGAAGCTCGTCCTGAGGTAGAGACTGATGATGCGAAGAGCTGCGGAAGCTCTGTTTGCACTGTTTGCTCAAGGTTGACTATCTCATCAACGCAGAGCCAATAGATTTCCCCGCCAGCTAATCTAGATCATTCGTGACTACGAGGACATACAAAGCCGCCTTCGAATTCGTAATCATCAACGGGAAAGACACTTCGCAAGTTGTCTATTTGTTGAAAGCAGGGGTTCAGGTACCTTTTAACTGGTTGCAAATCTCTCATGGGAGACAATGGATGAGCCGTTACTATGGCGCAGGCCGCTCAGAGGAGTTCGAGGGAGCCAAGCGATGTCAACCGACTCAATCATCCTGCCATGGTGGCGAATAGGTAGTTGCACAACTTATATTGTGTTTGTGCTATGCGTCCAGGTTCACTTTTTCCAAACGCTTTTCTATGAGGGGGAGAATTTCAGAGAGCCTGTTTGGGTCTCTCATGATGGCCGGGGCATCATCTCTCGTCGTCGCTAGAGACTGTAGAAATATCATCAATAGACTGATCTCTCATGAGGATTGAAGTGCCATTTAGAGAACAATACCTGGCGGACTGTTTCGTAATCGCATTCCCTGGATTGGTATTCTCTGATGACCTCCTTACTTTCGAAGTCGACATATAATCTGGTATCTCGAAGCCGGAAGAGTACGTTATCGAGCCTCATGAAGAATCTTGAGAGTAGAAGAAGTCGGCCTGGCATCACACGAATCTTGCAGGATAGCATAGCAATGCCGTTGTCAGCGAGTTCATCTTCATACAGCATAACCTCATCAAAGAACAATATCGGATCTGGGCGCTTCAGTAACTCGATAGGTATGGGCTTCGTCGTGGTCTCGAAGGGCCGACTGTTGGGATGTACAGTGCCCATATAATCTGTGGTGTAGGACCAATCGAACGGTTTGACAACCTCCTTGATACCTTCATGGGCTTTCTCCCTGTTTTGTGTTAGGTAGGTGAGGATCGGTTGCACCATATGGAGCTGGCTTACCTGCTCTTCTGCCATTCTTTCGAATGCGCAACTCTGAGCATTGAGGTGCCCGTCTTGTCTACACGATCCAGCGCGTCGAACGCATTGAAAGTAATGCCCCAATCCTTCTTTTCATGTTCGATGGTGACATAGTTATCGCCGAATATCATTTCCGGTGGCGCAATACCCAATCTTTTCGTCATCTCCTCAATTGGCTCAGCCTTCAAAATAGGAAGCTTCTGAGTGATTATTCTGAATTCTTTCACTGAGATAACATTAGGCCTTTGGAGGCCTGGCGATACTGCGGAAGCATTCATAGCGCATGCGGAGCCTGCTGAGGCCATTCTCTGGTTTCCTTCAAGAATCAAAAATCGAAATTTGATTGTTGAAACCCTTCAAATCAGCGCCTCGGTATTCGCTTACAAGAGGTGCATCATTTTGTCATCCATTTAAAGATGCAATATATTCAACCTCCTCGCCAATAGATACCCCGCGGTGTCGGAGAAAGAGGCGGTCCGATCCGTTGCTGGGGTGATGGGTCAAAGGAGCACAACCAGATAAACAAGTGGATCGTTGGATGTTCCTCTTTCTTCTTAAACGACTTCCGACTATTTATTGATTGACATTCCGAATCTTCCATTCTCAGTTCAATTATGATTGCATAAACCTTTAGAGCTCTTCTGAATCGCACCGTCTTACTTGCTTCTCCTCTTCCCGAAGCAGTTGACACTTCTCATCCCAAGATTCTCATGGCTACCAAGGCGCTAGAGGCTCGTTTTGAGCACCTCTCTGTCAAAGATGAGGCTGATACTGGGAAGAATGGCAGCATATACCCAAAGCACAATGTAAATCTCTTGTATGGGTCTTTGGGGAGAGGGGAACAGCCTGCTAATCCGGCTGGACAGGGCTCTTTATCAACAGCCGTGTCCCTCTCAGGCCTCGGAGCCAGTGGGCAGTTCAACAGTGGCTCAAGTCGGTCAACCTTGTTGAAGCTTGCCTTGCAGAATACAAATGAGAATAAAGTGAATGCGATGCATGCCGGCTCGTCTCCTCTCAAGGGAGCCCAGAGCGCATTGCCACACCGTGACACAGACGAGAATGGAGAACCGCGGCACACAACACCATTATACGAGCAGCCCACCCCCAAGAAATTACATCTGGGAATGTTCGAGATCGGCAAGCCCTTGGGAAAAGGGAAATTTGGCAGGGTTTACCTGGCCAAGGAGCGATCGTCCGGCTTCGTTTGTGCTCTTAAGGTCCTGCACAAATCCGAACTGCAGCAGGGTGGAGTGCAGAAGCAAGTTAGACGCGAGATTGAGATACAGAGCAACCTGCGTCATCCTAATGTTCTCAGACTTTACGGTCACTTCCACGATAGCAAGCGAATCTTCTTGATTCTGGAGTTCGCCGGCCGAGGAGAGTTGTATAAGCACCTCCGAAAGGAGCATCGCTTTCCCGAGTGGAAGGCAGCTCAATATATCGCCCAGATGGCTGCCGCACTGAAGTACTTGCATAAGAAGCACGTCATGCATCGCGACATCAAACCGGAGAACATACTTGTGGGAATCCATGGGGAAATCAAGATCAGTGATTTTGGATGGAGTGTCCATGCACCCAATAACAGAAGGCAGACGATGTGTGGCACACTGGACTATCTTCCTCCCGAAATGCTCAAGCCCAACTCACAAGACAACTATTACAGCGAAAAAGTTGATTTATGGAGCTTGGGCGTCTTAACCTACGAATTCTTGGTTGGGGAAGCGCCCTTCGAAGACACTCCCGTCATGACGCAAAGACGAATTGCGAGGGCAGACATGACGGTGCCTTCATTCGTCAGTCCTGAGGCGAAAGATCTTATCAAGAGAGTATGCCAGCCCTACCGCTCGAGGCAAGTACACTTGCTAACATTCCAACAGTTGCTCGTTCTTGACCCAGACAAGCGTATTACCCTTGATGAGATCCAGCGGCATCCCTGGATCCTTAAACATTGTTTGAAGGATGACCGGGTCACGAAACGGAGTTCTGGTTCTTCAAAGGAAGTCAAGGCATGATGGTAAAACCCATGCGTTTCTGGAGTTAGGGTGTTGTACCTCCTTTCCTTGTCAGTCAGTTCATTTCAGCCTGCGTGCATGGAGTTTGGAAGGTGCTTTTTTTTTCTTCAGAGATTTGAACCAACAGGGCTCTTAGCTTGGCGTCATCTGGTATCTTATATTTTGTAACATCCGGAAGTTGAGTATAATACATCGCAATGCAAAATCAGACAGGTAGAGTAGTGCTTGACGTATCGTCATAAGGAAACAACGAGTCTCAACGGTAAATCTCATCGAAGGGCCGCGTGTCTCTGAAACAGCTGTCCCAAACCTCATTGACCACTTTCTCCGCATGGGCTTCATCCTTGCATCCAGGTCTAGCTCTTACTGACAAGATGGCCCTTCTTCTTACACACTCCTGATGTTGTTGCGTGAACTTCCACTGACCGCGTCTGAAGAATTCTCGCGCCCATCTGCACTCACCACTAAGTGAGCTTGCTCGGATCTGCAACAAGTCAGTTAATGCTGGTTAGGGCGAGAGAGTGCAATACCTCTGTGCAAGCCGCATGCCTTAAATTATTTGTCCAGTCCACCTTAAATCTTAGGTGATCATATGCATGAACCATCTCATGTGCCATTGTGTCCTCCAGATGCCCTTGGTCCTTCATCTCGTTCGCGCAAAGCAAGATGCCATATTCTGGATCAAAACCCCCAGCCTTTCTGCTCGTACAGCGGCGGCAATAGATATTGTGACTGGAAAGATCGCCCCCCAGCTGTCGAATATTGTCGCTCAAAAAACGTATGATCGGACCTGGGCAAGTATATGTTTGTCAGACAATTTTCACAAAGATCCGGTTCAGAGGAGCTGATGATAAGTGGATAAATATGGACAGCAATTCTGTGTGAATAAACCATGAAAGACTTTGAGTAGTGCTAGAACTCACTGTACTGTAACAGGTAGTCTCTTTGATCTTCACAGCGCTTGCAATCTGCGGCTTCATTGCGGATATCTCGCGCGGTTCGGAACTGTTCCTTTCCCTCATCTGTCATCTTCCCTGTCAAGATAGCAAATATATTGCGCCATTGGGTCCATGTGTCATCTCCAGGAATATATCCACTATCAGACTTGCCGCCGATAGGAGCAGTTGGGCCCGGTTGCGAATTTGACATTTCTCAAGCCAAGTCGCTAACTTTCCAAGCTGTATCAGAGATCCGTTATCCACCAGTGGATCTACTTTCTAAAGCGCGGAAGGGAGAAGATTCGTCAGGGCTCTCCGCATATGCGGTGACAGGCGGCAAAATAAATGGTCCGCAATCGGATTGTCTGAGTATCAAAGACGAAACGAGTCATCAGGATTTTGGGCTCAAGAATGATCTGTTGAATCGTTGACTTTTTGTGTCAGGGATGCTCTTAGTTGCTCTGGAAGCCCCCAATAAATAGTCGTTCACAATGGCATCGCAGCGTCTAACCATCGTAATCAAACTAGGTGCGGGGATCTGTTTTTTCTTTTCTTATTTTTTTGAAATGATGCTATATGTGCTTGAGGATGACTGACTCACCAGCTGAATAGGGACGAGCTCCATAGTTGATGAGAACACACATGAGCCCATTCTCTCGATCTTGACATTAATCGTCGAGACAGCCGCCAAGCTGCACAAGGATGGCCACAATGTAGTCCTCGTTTCATCTGGCGCTGTTGGCGTTGGTTTGCGGAGGATGGATGTGGACGAGAGACCCAAATATCTTCCTCGCATACAGGTATAAGCCAACGTTTCTCGAGTCTCACAAGGGTAAAGCTTCTGACCGGTTGCAATTTCCAGGCGCTAGCAGCCGTCGGACAATGCAGACTCATGAGCCTGTGGGACGGTTTATTTTCGCACCTTCGACTTCCTGTAGCGCAGATCCTCTTAACCAGGAATGACATTGCGGATGTGAGAACTCATTCACTGCAACTGCTGCACCTGAGAAATCTAATTTTCAATTTTAGAGAACACAATACATCAATGCTCAAAACACTTTTGCCCAGCTATTCGATATGGGAGTCATTCCCATCGTCAATGAGAACGATACGTTGGCAGTTTCTGTAAGGGTCCACCTGTCCCATAAATGATCCTTTGACCTGACAAACTCGCAAGGAAATTAAATTCGGTGATAATGACACTTTATCGGCCATAACGGCGGCCATGGTCAAGGCCGATTACCTCTTTCTGATGACAGATGTCGATTGCCTATATACCTCGAATCCTCGTCACAACCCGGATGCTAAGCCCATCGAGGTGGTTTTCGATATCTCCTCTCTGGAAGCTGACGTGTCGTCTGCTGGTTCATCTCTTGGAACTGGTGGAATGAGCACAAAGATTGTGGCTGCAAGATTGGCAACCAGTGCTGGAGTGACGACGGTGATTACCAAGAGCTCCAAACCGGGCAACGTTCTCGATATCGTAAAGTATCTCCAGCGAACACAACGAGGCATTCCCGGGGAGTCTTCAACAGTAGAAGCGACACCATCAGAGTCACAACTACCGCTGTCGCCACCTCTACATACGCGTTTTCTCCCTTCGGACACACCAATTCAATCCCGATCATTCTGGCTGCTGCATGGTCTCAAGCCACATGGAAGCCTGTACATCGACCATGGGGCATATAACGCTCTTCTGAACAAAGCCAGTCTCCTGCCGGCAGGTGTCGTCGGTGTGGATGGCCACTTTGGTCAACAGGAAGCCGTGCGACTAGTTGTTGTTGAGCGGCTCTCGCCCGACTCCCTCAACGGAGACTTCCTCCACCACGGGCAGGAACCCAAGGAGGTTGGCCGCGCACTGGTCAATTACGGTAGCGTTGAGATTGCACGCATAAAGGGTCACAGAAGCACACACATTCAGTCCTTACTCGGATATGCTGATAGTGAATACGTCGCTCTTCGGGAGAATATATCCTTTTTTCGGTCGGACGATTCCGTACGCCAATAGCAGTTCGCCAATTTCGAACAATTCCGGCCAATGACAGGACCCCTTACGCGAAATGGTATATAAATCGAGTCGACATGATTCGAATGATTTCTTCTTTTTGCACATATCGCAGTGATACCTTATCTGTTCTTATGTTGGAAATTGCATTTTGAGCGACATTCAACAGCCATCAAGATGAAGCGGGTGAATGGCGAAAAGTGATAGAGTTTACCAATTCTAGGCTAATTTTATTATAGACCAGAAATAGAGGAGATTCAACACCGCTAAATTGGCCGATAGGAGGCAGAGCCTCTGGCACCTGTGACCCTTCGGATACGATCAGACTGTCATGATATCAAGTTTTTTCTTCAAATTTGCCGCATCAGTCCTTCCATCTTTCCAGTAATCTTTTCATGGCGGCATCGTGGGGATGCGGTGCAGGGGACGCCTAGGGAAAGTGTCTGTTCAGAAGAAGCACGGTGATTTTGAAGGCCATACAATAATGCACTTACTGTGTTCTCAACACTGACAACAGAGTACGTTGCAGTTGCAGAAAGTGTAGCTTGCACCGTCGCTGGAGGTAGCCAAGTCGTTGCGATTGTATAGAGACTTGCTGAGAACTGCGGCGACGGAGCCTTCGTAGGGATAGTGCTCCCGGGTTTCTTGGCCATTGGAGCATACCTTGTCGGACCGCTCTGCAAAGCATAGGGTACAGTATAAGCTGCTTCAACTACTCTCTTTCGCAGATCTTTTTTGACAGCGGATCCGTCAGGATCTGAGAGAGAACGAATCTCATCCACGAGGTGAGGTGGAAACGACCCGGTCATGTTACTGAGCGTGAAGCGATTTGAGAAATTGATGGCAAAGGCCTCAGGACCAGAGGCAACCATCTTCAAGAAACTGCAGGTTGTTGAATTGCGTCAGTACGAGATGGGAAATACAGTACTTTTGAACCAGCAAGAAAGCCCGAGGTCTTACTATGCGTTGAATTCATTGCCTCCGACACCGGGATCGATCTTGATGGAAACCGAATTCCCACGAGCGAACAGACCGTCTTTGATCAGAACAGCCACTTCATGCTATTTGCCCCTCTTTCCGTCAATAGGTACTCCTGAATTGCGTGTAATGCCCAGCAACTCACCTGAGTATCAGCCGTGTCTCCTCCGGCGTAGAGGTATAGATCATATTGTGACAGTTCCGAAATTCGTGGAGACCGGCCTGACTCGCGCCAATGTGCTGTAACAACATCGCCAGCCTTGAAATTCGTACCAACGGTCGGCACGGTGAAGTCAATATCTGCTAATGTAGCTGGGAGTAGCAGCAAGATGGAGAGTGATTGTAGAATATTCATATTGAGGATGTAGCTCTCATTCAGTACACAATGAATCAGAAGCAGCTGGGTTGCTAGAGATATAAACAAGGTCTACATTCAATGAGCAAATGGATAAACAAGAGGCGACCTTCATCCCTGCGTGCCAGAGGTATGTGAGCGTCTATGTGACCCTTGTATATAGTTCTGGATACATGCCAGGCTTCTTATCGATAAGCGCGTCTAATCGATAAGAAACGCTCATTTCAGAAACCTAATGGTTAAGGCATCAAGATTAATGGAAATGCGGTGGCGCCATGATTACTCGAAGGAACCCGCTGTTGTTGGTAACGAGCTGTAGGTCCGACCATTCTGCAATCCGCAATCCTCGAAACTTGCTCTATGTGGAAGATGGTGCGCATTTTGACCCGATACTATATCTCATGATTTTAGTGATTTGATTATTGTTTCTTTAAACGATCATCGTTGATACTGTTCCTCCTCTTCAAACAGTTATTCAACAAGCATCCGTAAAGCCAAGATGGCAGATCACGGAGATTGGGGTCTGGCTGAGCGGATTTTCACCAGCCTTTTGGATGGTAATCTCGTCGCTATTGCAGTCACAAGTTTCATCGCTTTTGGACTGCCTGTCCTGTTGCATTTCATCTTCTACCGGTCCGTTGCGTCTCCGCCATTGAGCAATTTCCTGCTTCTCGGACCTAGCGGGGCAGGAAAAACCGCATTGTTGTCATTGGTAAGACCAGCGTTCAGCATTCTCGAAATAGCTTCGCACTTTCGTGCGAACCCTACCCTTTCAATCGACAGTCATTGATGTTACTTGATAGCTCGAAAGCAAGACATCCCGATCAGCTAAAACGACCCAAATCACGCACACATCCCAAACATCTACCTCAGCCATCGTCAGCCTCCCTACCTCGGTACCGACTGCATCAAATCGCTACCGCTCCGTCAATGATTCTTCGCTGAAGGATGTCTCTAAGAATCCTGTCAGATATCGATTGAAGGATACGCCTGGTCATGGAAAACTACGGGAGTCCCAGGGACTTTCAGAACTGGTATCAATGGCAAGTGCAAAAGACAAGAAATTAAAGCTGCGCGGGGTCATTTTTATGGTAGACACAGCAGCTCTGACTGAGGAAGACACGTTGAGAGACACTGCATCTTATTTGCACGATGTTCTTCTGGCTCTTCAGAAACGCGCATTACTGAAAGGCAAATCTTCCGCCAAGCTAGCATCGGAAATCCCTGTTCTTGTGGCCGCCAACAAACAAGACCTATTCACCGCCTTGCCGCCAGGCTCTGTCCGTGAAAAGTTGGAAATCGAGATCGATAGGATCCGGAAATCCAAGAGCAAGGGGCTCATGAATGCCAGCGAGGATACTGGTACGGTTGAGGACGAAGAGGATACCTTGGGCAGCATTGATGCGCAGGATACTTTCAGCTTCAAACTACTAGAAGATGAAGTTGGTGTGAAAGTCGACGTCGTTGGCGGAGCTGTAAAAGGCGATGAGGAGGGCAATATCGGAGCCGGTGTGAGGAGATGGGAGGAATGGATCGGACAATGCCTATGAATGCTGGTTCATGAATCTTGGGCTTGATTCTCCGAACCTATTTGACAGACTGAAAACCCTTTTGGAAAAGTATATAAGTTCATGGTGGGCGACCTAAGGTCCCTCCAGTGCGATCCACTCGGATGATGGCTTCGTTTGGCAGGACTACAGTAGGACTCCTCGCAAAAAGTTGGATTATGGGCCATTGTGGCTCTAGATACCAT